AATTTGAGTCTCCGGTTTAGGGCTATTACCGTATAAAGCTGCTATGAACACTTGTGAACAAGTCTTTGTATGGGCATACACTTTCATTTCCAAAGAGTGGAATGGTTGGATCATATAGCAGATGTACATTTAATTTTTTAATAATTGCCAGACTGTCTTCTAAAGTGGTTGCATCATTTTAATATTTCTACCAGCAGTGTAAAAGAGTTTCGGTTCCTCCTTGCCAATACTTAGTATGAGCAGTTATAATTAGCCATTCTAGTAAATATGTAGTAGTATTTCACTGTGCTTTTAACTTGCATGCTCCTAATGGCCATGAGGTAGAGTATTTTTTCATGTGCTTGTTTGACATTTATGTACTTCTTTGTGAAGTATCTGTTCCAATTTTGGCACATTTTCTTTTTATTGAGTTGTTTGTTTTCTAGATATTCAGTTTTTAAAAATATATTCTGGATTCAAATCCTTTATTATAGATATGATTTACAAATATTTTCTCCCAGTCTGTCCCCTGTATTTTTCTTTTCTTAAGAGTCTCTTTTGGAAAGTGGAAGTTTTTAGTTTTGATGGTGTCTCAGACTTTTAATCATGTTTCTTATTTAAAGATATTCCCAAACCCCATTACATTAAAATCTCTGACAGAATCACAATATGTAAGGCACTGTATTAGGAGCTAAAGATATAACAAGGACTAATATCTTTACCTTTAATCAGTTTACAGTTGAGTTTGGGCTGAGAGAAGGAGGATAGGTTAATAGAGAATAACATACAATGTTATTAATCATTAATAACATACAATTGCAACAAGAGAGAAATGCTTAAGATCCTATAGAAGCCCATTGTTTAAATGTAGAAATAAAAACATAAAATTACTAGAACTAAACAATGGATGTTTTTCTTTCTATTAATCTTGAAATGATAAAATCTTCTATGTACAACACAATCCTATGAGCCAAAGGGAAAAAAAAAATGATTGCTAACTTAGGCTAATAAAAATACAAAGGGTAAGGTTCCTTCAGGTATTGAGTATGCAGTGCTTACAAATAAATAAGAAAACAATAAGAAGAAAATAGGAACATGTTCAAAACTCAGAGACAGACATATAAAAGAATATACCAATGTCATTTAAATATGCTCTACTTCACATATCATATTAGAAATACATCTTGAAAACGGCAAGCACATAAACTTTTCCAGCTATCCAATAGAAAAGACCAAAAGCCACAGGACATCCAATAAATATGGTGGACTGAGCTGATTCCAATATACAGAAATGCAAAATAGAATGTAACAGGAACAATAACAGACTTAATACACAACTGTGCTCAAAACAAAAAACATGGAATGTCTTGATGCAGCAATTGAATCAACAAAGTGAGTGGAAGTTGAAATGAAAGGGCTCACAAGGGAAAGGCATAGAACTTAAGCACAAGGGCTTGGGAATGAAATCCTCTCAATGGGAAGGAAACTGGGATGCAACATTTCTTCCCAGATGCGAACACCTTTACCAAATTCTTGGTCATCTTCTTGAGATTTTTTATTCCTGTACAAGAATATTCCAAATGCTTTAGTAAAAAAATAGTGGCTTTTTTATTCCCTGTTCTTCACCTCACTATTGCCAATTAAACCTTTTTGGATAATCTTCCATATCAGTATCAATAGAGCTAGCTCATCCTTTTAATGGCTGCTCAGTATCCCGCTGGTTGGATATTCAGGTTACTTCAAATCCTTTGTTGGTGTGCATTTGTTTCTCTTCATCATGCTCAGGAGTTAGTTTGGTTCTTTAATCTAAAGTCTCATAGAAACTCTTAGCTATCGCCTCTCTTCATACATTGCCTCTTAGACATTTTCTCCAGCCTTTCACAGAATTTTTGTGGAGCTTCTTATTCTAATCTCATGATTTGCACTATCTTTCATCCCTTTCTGTGTGTGTTGCATTCTGATTATATTCTCAGATACAGTACTTCCAATTACATATTTTATCTTCATCTTTATCTATTCTATTATTCAATTGGTTAATTTATTTTAATTTTAAATATATTCATTTTTTTGTTTGTTTTTGAACTTCTATTTAGTTCTTCTGCAAACCAACATTTTTTTAATACCGTGTCAGTTCTTGGCTTACACTTTCCATCCTTTATTTAAAAAAAACACATGATAATTAAAAATAGTTTTGAA